AAAATTTTCTTTAGACTTATTCCCAAGCATCTTTATTAAGTGAATACCCTACCCTTTCTTGTATAGCATCATATCTGCTCTATTTAAACAAAATGGGAAAAAGCTTTTCCACCAAAAGAAAGAAAGAAGGAAGGCAGGAAGAAAGGCAATGCTGTCTGTTATAGAGCATTATAGTAAACCACATCTATCCATTCTGATGTATAGACCCAGAAGCATGGTAAAAATTCAGCCAAACTCAAAGGCTAAAGCAGAAGTTAATTACAGGCAAAAAGGAAACACCATTAACCCAGAGGGTCATAAAGGCCTGATACCGAATAACAATGTTAGTGAATTTCCTGATAGAAAGCCATGCTAGTCAAATGGAATAGGAAAAAATGTGGCCTTTTGAAGATGAAGTAATTTATTTCAGCATAAATGGGGTGGCTTAAATGTTCTATTCTAACTCCTGTACAAATGGATTAGCGACATGACGATATTAATAAATTATTATACAATGGTTTGCCCACTATCACAACAATTTTTTTCAGTGTGTGCTATGCAGTGGATAACAAATAAAATAAATGAATTCTGGAGTCATTTCAGTTTATAAGGAAGAATCTACAATACACAATTCTAGAATGTTTGGAGTAGTGGCTTCCAACTATAAGAAGTTTCTCCCTCACGAGACATTTATTCCTACAATGCCTTTTACAATGCAGAAGATTATGAAGCATATTCTGGTATTTCATGTTGTGTTGCAGACTGGCACTAGCCAGGCCTGTGGCTCTCAACACATGGAGGGTTTCCAGAAAATGAATGGTTCTTTAACATTGATAGGCACTGATTATATCAGTGAACAAAATTAACAGCAACTGCACTGTTGTTGATTGTTATTGGTTTTTCCACATGTTATTATTTGCAGCTTCTGCAGCAACCCTGAAATCCTTTGGAGCCTGCAGAATGTATATTTCATTTACGCACACGAGTGGGTCACTAGAATCAATGATCACATTCTTTTTTCATAGCACAATGGATGATGCTAGTTTTGAAAGTTTTCTAGGACTGGCTTCTGAATAATCAAGAAGAAATCTTCTGGCACCTTCTTTAAGTCTCCTATCTGTTTATTCATAGCCTTTCTCTCATGTCTGTCCTCCACGGAGCTCAGAGAAACATCAACACACCATATATTTTACCTTGAAAAGAATCCTATAAATTAAGTGAGAAGAGCAAGTGATTGACCCAAGGTCTCTTAAAGTGTGAATAGCATAGTTGGTACTCAGATCCTCCTGATTCAAGTCCAGGATTAATCACATCAGTTCACTACGGGCCCTTCCGCACAGCCATGTAACCCAGAATATCAAGGCAGGAAATCCCACAGTATTTGCTTTGAACTGGAATATATGGCAGTGTGGACTCAGATAACCCTGTTCAAAGGAGATATTGTGGGATATTCTGCCTTGATATTCTGGGTTATATAGCTGTCTGGAAGGGCCCTAGGTTGGTCAAAGTTCAAGTGATAGTACTCATTTTTGTTCCATCTCAATACCAGTCCTCACAGGGGACATTTCAGTCATTTCCCTTCCACAAAAATTAGTCAAAATTAAAGACTAGGATGCATTTTAATATCTCATCTTCTGAGTTCAATATGAATTTCTTCCACTCAGGACATGACATATAGAAGAACACAAAACTGAAATGAATAAATGCATTCTGTTTGGAAGATAATAAACTGACTTTTGGGAACAAATAGTTCATCAATATAGCTTATTTTGAAAAGTAATTCTAGAATCAATTACCGGTAATGAAGTTGTCCAAATGTCTTGCACTTTTTAGTTGTGAAATGAATATTGATACTTTTTAAATCTTAAAATAGTCTCTATAGCTTACATCTATCTAGACCTAATGAATAAATGATAACTTAATATGTCAACAATTTGGTAAATTCCATTAATCCAGTAGGTCTACTGGAGTTGGGACTAACAATATATCTCTAAGAAATTTGTGTGTGTGCATGTGCGTGTGTATAAAGAGAGAGAGAGAGAGAGAGAGAGAGAGAGAGAGAGGACATTTTATATTGTACTCATATCCTGGACTAATATTACAACTTAATTCTACACTCATCGAGAATGAAATTTGGAATTAAAAATGGTGTAAACCTTAGCTTAGCTGATATAAAACAAACTTATTACCATAATAGAAACATGTGCTAATTATGTTAACTGATGTGTAAAAGAGTGATAAAGCAATGTATGCTTGTTATTACCAACTATGCTGAAGAGAAAATTAGTGTTCACTTTTGTTTATTACACACATCTAGGCAAACTACTGTGACATGCAAATACAATTAGCAAGAAACCTAAAGCCAATAGCTCTGCATCATTAGGGATTATAGACTGGAGCATCCTCAATGTAATAACCAGAAAATGAAAGACTGTAGTGAAACAAATACTTCCAGTGGGGCACAATATGACAAAATAGTGTGAACATAAGTTAAGATGGATACGTTAATATATATACAGGATTGAGTAACTAATTTGATTTCAGAAATGACTGCAAACGTTTTTCAAAATCTGAAATATACATAAGAAACTAAGGCACAGGCAGGTCATAATTCAAGGGACTCATTCAATTTGCGACCTGCAACATAAGGTAAACATAGCTCACCAGGAAATCAAACAAAACAGAAGCAAATTGTGTTTTTGCATAATAGTACAATGAACAGGAAAGAGAATGAAACATCTACCAGACCAGAGGTAATATTGACATTGTCAAAACTTGTGCATGCCTGTTTTAGAATGTATTGCAGAATATATAGCTATACATTTTAATAGCTGTATGATCCAAGACAGTATTGCGTTTTGATGCTGTGTCAGCCATGATATATCATGCCAGGTGCAAATACATATTTGAATGTTATAAAAGCATAAAGTATTAGGTGCTTTAATTTTATTTATTTATTTACATCAACTGCCATCTTTAGTGGTAAAATCTTTCCAGGGTACCTTATAATAGGAAATAATAACAATAAAACAAACTGTTGAGATCCATATGTCATGAAAGCCATTTTACCCTGAGTTTTGAACAGCTTCCAATTCTCAGGTAGTTGGGAATTAGAAGGTCTAGTTTGTTGGTCTATTGTGTTTCCAGTTAAGTTAATTTGGGAAACTGAACATTCTGGGATTTAGGTCCACTGAGTTTTCCTCAAGTAGCCCTGATTTTGGAGGGCAGGGGAGAATGGGAGCAGTTTTGGACTAGAATAGCTAAAATGATTGTGAACCACAGTACACTGTCTAGATGAGTTACATGGTAAGTTATAAAATGAGTAACTACTGGACTGTAAAAGTATTATCAAACATGGCATCCACCGCCCCTAATAAAAAAGGATTCATAGTTCTCCAAGGGCAAGAGGCAAGAGATATCAGAAGGATTGCTAAATGTCCATTGAATTCTATATGTGGAGTTTGTTTCAAAAAGATACCAAATCTCCCAAAATTGAAAAATGAGTTATAGGTAGCAGCACTTTGTTGGCTAGAATACAGTATTGTGAACAGATCCAAACTAACAAACTGTATCCAATCATGTCAGTACAGGGCTTGGAAAATTGCATTTTATAGCAAAGGAATGCATATCCTCAGCATGTTTTTGTCAGTTCCTTGAATTTTGTTCAGATGGATTTGGTACCTTTTGGAAACAAGCTCCTCATACAGGCTAGTGTACAACATATATTTACCAAGCTGATTTTTAGCAGCTTTCAGATCCTATCACATCTCGCCTTTCTAAAGTTTAGGATAGAATGTAAATATGTGCAGATAGATAGCGAGGGGCAACAACTGACTAGATGAACAAACACTTCTTGATTCAATCATTGGCATATTAATCAGATAATAATGATCCTATTCGAACAGTTAGTACAGCGGGTTAAACTGATCTTGCTGATCGAAAGGTTGACAGTTCAAGCCCAGATTGGGGTGGGCACCCAACCGTCAGCCCAGCTTTTGATCACCTAGCAGTTCAAAAACAGTAATGTGAGTAGATAAATAGGTAACAGAAATGTGAGTAAATAAATAGATAGATTTGGCAGGGAGGTAATAAAAGGCACCCATGTGGACATGCCAGCAACTCGATTGGGAAAGTGTCTAAAGACAACAAAAGCTCCTCAGCATGGAAGATGGAGTGACAGCACACACACACACACCCCATAGTGGCCAGAGTCAAGCACAGCCTCCAGATGCCAAAGATGGAAAAAGATGGGAAGTTGTATATGTATACTGTAATCTGCTCCGAGTCCCCTTGGGGAGATAGGATGGAATATAAAGTATATTATTGTTGTTGTATTATTATTATTATTATTATTATTATTATTATTATTATTATTCTAGAACTTTATTTCCCACATTAGCTGACCAGATACTACTAAGAAGGAAATAGTATATGGAATCCTTACTTTGCTCCTCTCCAGAAGCTGCTATTCTGTGGCCTAGTGTCTCTCAGCCTGAGGTTGCATATAGCCATCAAAAAGCACATTCCCTATGAATTTGTCTATAAGACTACAGCAAAAAGGAAAGGTTTCAGACAAGACATTTCAATTTATTTTCCATGTTAAAACACAGATTTTCAAACTAGGAGACAAAGGTTATTAAACAATGATTTTGGGGGGGGGGGGGACATAATGGTGCCAAGCAAATCCTGTGTAGGCCATGTCATTAGCTGTGTCCTGCTATCAAAAGCCCTTATCTATGGCTACCTGCATTACTTCATTTAGTAAACATATATTTAAAAGTCTCAAAGTTTGGATAGATGCATATGGGAGAAGGCAGAATTGGAGAAGGCAGTATTTCAGCTTATCCGGTCGTAATTAATTTTTAGATAGCACTTTTAAGTTGCGTCCTGGATATCTGGGAGCCAGCTTTTGGCTCCTAATATCCATAGTGCAGTTGCCAAACAAAACCAATGACTTCAATAAAATGCACAAACACATACACACAATCCACAGGGATACCAACATGCGGGAGTTACTTTACCTTGTTTTATGACGAAACTGCCACTCCAGAAGAAGGTGCCCGGGATGCAAAATTAAGCCCTGTAGGTTGGGTGCAGGTGAGCCACACTTTGCCTACTCTTTAGAAGAGGTCACAGATGCAATTTCAAACAAAGTTGATTTGAACTTCTTCTAGTCACATAATTCATCTTTGCCTTTCCATCTATAGCAGGTCCAGTGGATGTGACACCAACAGCGCCTCTTACTTTGTCCACTTTGATCTATTTTATCATTGTGCCCAAGTAAGTGGTTCAAGGCAACCATAGCACCCCATGCATCTGATGAAAAAGAAAGATAAAGCCGGATGTCATCCACATATTGGTTACAACTCATACCAGGTTTCCAGAAGATCTTTTCCAGCAGTTCCATGTACATATTAAGCAGCATGAAAGAAAGATGCAAACTTGGCATATTGCAAAGAAGGAGTGGCATGAGGATAAGCAGTAATTATCCAACACCACCTTCTTCAAACTGTCATTCAAACAGAAGCAGCACTATCCCTTGTACATCCAATCTAAACAGCCTGCCCAGAAGCATCTCATGATTTATTTTATCTAAAGCCAAGAGAATTTGAAGAGAAAACAACAGAATAAAGTTCTCCTTGTTCTTTTCATATATGACTGTGGTCTCTTAAGATGCTTTTGGCCTTTAACTCCCAGCAACCAAATAGCCAACTGTGAGGGAATAGAGCCAGCATGGTGTAGTGGTTTGGACTTCTTACAAATCTGGAAACCATGGTTAAAATTCCCACTCAGTCATGGAAGCTCATGGGGTGACCTTGAGCAAGTCACATTCTCTCAGCCTCAGAAGAAGGCAAAGGGAATCCCCACACAATCAAATTTTGCCAAGAAAACTGCACTATAGGGTCACCTTAGATTACCATAAGTTAGAAACAACGTAGAGTCACACAAAAACTCGGAGTAATATTTCAACATCTGTAGAGCCACACATTGCGCATCCCAACTCTATTTATTCTGAAATTCGCCTACATTTGAGGAAGTTTTGTATTATAAGAACTCATCTATACTACAATTTAATGCAGTCTGAAACTGTATTATATGGTCAGGGTATATTCTGTTTGTCAAGTGATGCTTCTAGACTTCCCTGCCTGCCTACAGAGGTTCTTTTCTCTTTATGTTAGCAGCAGCAGCCACCCAGCAAGTGCAGGAATTGTTCTCATCTTTCTCTCTTGCCAGTTCAGCCAACTCTGGGTACATCTATGCCAAGCAGGGGCCAACTTGGGCCCTCCAGGTGTTTTGGACTTCAACTCCCACAATTCCTAACAGCCCCGGGCCCTTTCCTTTTTTCCCCCTCAGTCGCTTAAGGGGAAAAGTCTGAGGGGGAAAAGGAAGGGGCCTGAAGCTGTTAGGAATTGTGAAGGTTGAAGTCCAAAACACTAGGAGGGCTCAAGTTTGCCCATGCCTGATCTACACTGTAGAATGAGGGCAGTTTGTTGTCACTTTAACTGCTATGGCTCAATGCCATTGAATCCTAGGATTTGTAGTTAGGAGAGACAGGAGCACTCTTTATCAGAGAAAGGCCTTTGAAAATTCCAACTCACATGATTCCGCAGCACTGAGCCATGGCAATTGAAGTGGTGTCAAACTGCCTTAATTCTGCATTGTAAACCAGGCACGGGCAAACTTGGGCCCTCCAAGTCTGAGCCGCTTAAGCAGCTGAGGGGAAAAAGGAAAGGGCCTGAGGCTGTAAGGAATGGTGGGACTTGAAGTCCAAAACACCTGGAGAACCCAAGTTTGCTGTGCCTGTTGTAGACGCACCCAGTTGTTTAAACTTGCAAGAGGGGGGAGAAGGGTACCACCCCTGCTTTCTTGGCAATCTTCCTTGGCATTCAGTGCAAGTGATGTCTAGTCATCAGCTTTCCTTCTATAGTTAAGATGCTGTAATGGTGTTGATTTATGCAAACCAGGCAGATGCAAACACTGTCATTCAAAGCAGGGCTGGGGCTTTCCACAGCATGGGTACTCTAGGACTTTGAGCCAGCCGACTGTAAACATTTATCACGTGCTTTTTGCTCAGTGACCCAGAAGGAGCAGGAAGCTCTTCTGGAGCCCTTTAAAAGCCTCCCTGAGAGGGACAGGTGGCAGTCCCTGTGACCTTAGGTGCGAAGGTCCACACTGTGGAATCAATGCAGTTTGACACCGCAACTGTGATGGCTCAATGGCTATGGATTTCTGGGATTTGTAATGGAGTGAGGCCCCAGTGCTCTTTGGCAATGTTTCTCAACCTGGAGGTTGGGACCCCTGGGGGGGGGGGGGGGGTCATGAGGGGGTGTCAGAGGGGTCACTAAAGACCATCACAAACTTCTGTGTGGGAAGTTTGGCCTAATTCTATCATTGGTGTGGTTCTGAATGTTCTTTGATTAACTATAAACAGCGTTCACGTTTGGGCATATTGAGTATTTGTGCCAAGTTTGGTCCAGATCCATTATTATTTGAATCTACAGTGCTGTCTGGATGTAGGTGAACTACAACTCCAAAATTCAAGGTCAATGCCCACCAAACCCTTCCAGTATTTCCTGTTGGTCATGGGAGTTCTGTGTACCAAGTTTGGTTCAGTTCCATTGTTGGTGGAGTTTAGAATGCTCTTTGATTGTATGTGAACTATAAATTCCAGGAATTACAACTCCCAAATGACAAAATCAACCCCTCCCCCCCAACCACACCAGTATAATATATATCCTGCATATCAGATATTTACATTATGATTTAGAACAGTAGCAAAATTACAGTTATGAACAAGCAACAAAAATAATTTTATGGTGGGGGGTCACCACAACATGAGGAATTGTATTAAGAGGTTGAGAAATACTCTTCTACCAATTATGACACTGTAATTGTATTGATTTATGCAAACCAGGCAGGTGCAGACACTGTCATTCAAAGCAGGGCTGAGGCTTTCCACAGTGTGGCTACTCTGGGACTTTGAGCCAGCAGACTGTAAACATTTATCATGTGCTTTTTGCTCAGCTACCCAGAAAGAGCAGGAAGCGCTTCTGGAGCTCTTTAAAAGCCTCGCTGAGGGGGTCAGGCTACAGTCCCTGCGACTTTGGGTGAAACCTACACTGTGGAATCATAGAGTCATAGAGTTGGAAGAGACCTCGTGGGCCACCCAGTCCAACCCCCTGCCAAGAAGCAGGAAAATTGCATTCAAAGCACCCCCGACAGATCGCCATCTAGCCTCTGTTTAAAAGCTTCGAAAGAAGGAGCCTCCACCACATTCTGGAGCAGAGAGTTCCACTGCTGAACGGCTCTCAGAGTCAGGAAGTTCTTCCTAATGTTCAGGTGGAATCTCCTTTCTTGTAGTTTGAAGCCATTGCTCTGCATCATAGTCTCCAGGGCAACAGAAAATAAGCCTGTTCCCTCCTCCCTGTGACTTCCCCTCACATATTTACCCATGGCCCTCATCATGTCTCCTCTCAGCCTTCTCTTCTTCAGGCTAAACATGTCCAGCTCTTTAAGCCGCTCCTCATAGGGCTTGTTCTCCAGACCTTTGATCATTTTAGTCAGCCTGCTCTGGACACATTCCAGCTCTTCAATTGTGGTGCCCAGAATTGGACACAATATGCGGTTTGACACTGCTTGTACTGCGATGGTTCAATGGCTATAGGCAGGGGCGGCTCAACCCATTACGCCAAGTAAGCATTTGCAGTATAGTTGATTTTGCCCAGGGGTGCTCTTGAGGTGCTCTTGGGGGAAAATAGACCTTGACATATGCGAGTTATAGTTACTGGGATGTATAGTTCACCTACAATCAAAGAGCATTCTGAACTCCACCAATGATGGAATTGAACCAAATATGGCACACAGAACTCCCACGACAAACAGAAAATATATATATCAGTGATTGGTTGGGGGGGGGGGGCAAAATACTGTTTCTTACAATTGAAAATTACCTAGGGCCGCCTCTGGCTATAGGGCAGGGGTCCTCAGACTAAGGCTTGGGGGCCAGATGTGGCCCTCCAAGGTCATCTACCTGGCCCTCGCTCAGGGTCAACCTAAGTCTGAAAGGACTTGAAAGCACACAACAATAACAACAATCTTATCCCACAATTCTCATTGAAATACTAATAAGTTTATAGTTGTTAAAATTGTTCTTCATTTTAATTATTGTATTGTTTTTAAGTGTTTTTGCACTACAAATAAGATATGTGCAGTGTGCACAAATTCATTCCTGTTTTGTTTTTGTTTTTCAAATTATAATCCGTCCCTCCAACAGTTTGAGGGACTGTGACCTGGCCCTCTGTTTAAAAAGTTTGAGGGCCCCTGCTTTAGAGTCCTGGGATTTGTAATGGAGTGAGGATAAAGCCTATCCAACTCCCACGACGGTGTGGCAGGCGAAGCGGTGCCAGGGGGAATTCCTCCTCCAGTGCAGGATGAAGCGGTTTGGGGAGCGCGCGTTTGCCGCAGCCGCCAATGAAAACGAAGCGGGCCCTGTCCAAATGACAGGCGGATTTCGCATTGGGAACTGCGGCGGATCAGAACTGCGAGGGGAGGGAAGGGGAGGGGATGGGAGTGGGACCGGGGGCCAGGGGTGCTTGGAAAGGAGCAGAAGGTGCTGCCACACCGCATTTCATCTCTTAGCGGGGCAAGAGGGCAGGCAGGGATGCAGAGAGCGGAGGGAGAAGTTTCCCTTCCTGCTTTGGGCAAGCGGCGGCACTGGACAGACTTACCAAGAGGCCGGCAAATCACTGGAGGGGGGAGCCTTCCTTTACCTTGCCAGGAAGGGAGCCCTCCCCGGGCTCAGCGCTTGGCCGCCACTGCAGGCGCGGGGCTGGAGGGAGAGCCAAGTCCCCTTTGGGGAGCCCTCGCCTCCGCATGGCCCTCCTTCCCTCCCCCCGGCGCTTTGCTCCGGCGCTGCCCCTCTTTGCATGGGAACCCCGGCCCTGGCTCCCAAAGGCACTCTCGCCCCTTTCGGGCTCATTCACAACCCCGCTGGCCCGGCGGGAGGGAACGGACAGGGCACTTGACCAATCGGGAGCCAGACTCGCCGCCCGGCTTGGTGGGAAGGCCAATAGCAGGGCAGCGGGGGACGCCGGGCAAACCAATGGAGGAAGCGTGCGGGGGGAGGGAAGGTGGGAGCAGACCCTCCAAGAGAGACAGGCACAGGTAGGGACCCAAAGGCAGTTCACCGCCAGGGCAGGTTGGCCTCAGTCCCGCAGCCCTGGCCTCCCATCCCTCACTCCCTCCCGCCTTCATTTAGCCTGTCTATGGAATCTCTTGGCGTGGTGGAGAAATGCAATAAATTACATAAGATGAAGCTTCCAACAGACCTCACAACTTCTGAGGATGCCTGCCATAGGCGAAACGTCAGGAGAGAATGCTTCTGGAGCATGGCCATACCGCCCGAAAAACTTACAACAACCCAGTGATTCCTGCCATGAAAGCCTTCGGCAATACATTGAAATAAAATATGTAATAACATATATAATAATTTGTATACACTTCTCACAATTTTATCTGTGTTTCCCAACAACTTTGATTTGGCATGTTGTTGTTCATTCGTTCAGTCGTCTCCGACTCTTCATGACCTCATGGACCAGCCCACGCTCCCTGTTGGCTGTCACCACCCCCAGCTCCTTCAAAGTCAGTCCAGTTACTTCAAGGATGCCATCCATCCATCTTGCCCTTGGTCGGCCCCTCTTCCTTTTGCCTTCCACTTTCCCCAGCATAATTGTCTTCTCTAAGCTTTGCTGTCTCCTCATGATTGGCCAAAGTACTTCAACCTTGTCTCTAGTATCCTTCCCTCCAGTGAGCAGTCGGACTTTATTTCCTGGAGGATGGATGATTTGGCATAATAAATATTTATTTTAAAATACTAATTAGTAGTGTTTATTATTAGTATTAGTAAATATTAGTACTTACTTACCTACTTAGGCAATCCCTCGTTGTCCAAGTACGATTGCCTTCCAAGTGCAGTGTACTGGCGGTGGGTCCGTAGGTGACTGTGGAGCCCTATTCTTGACCTACATGTTTTCCCGCAGTGAGAGACATTGGTTTCCAGGTGGAAGGCAGTCCTGGTCAGGGTTGGCTTGACACGCCTTCCTCTTGGCACATTTCTTTCACCTTCCATTCGTACCTCTTCAAATTCTACAGCACTGCTGGTCACAGCTGACCTCCAGCTGGAGCACTCAAGGGCCAGGGCTTCCCAGTTCTCAGTGTCTATGACAGAGTTTGTAAGGTTGGCTTTGAGCCATCTTTAAATCTCTTTTTCTGCCCACCAACATTCCGTTTTCCATTCTTGAGTTCGGAGTAGAGCAACAGCTTTGGGAGACGGTGGTTGGGCATCTGGACAACGTGGCAGGTCCAGCAGAGTTTATGGCGGAGGACCATCGCTTCAATGCTGCTGGTGGTCTTTGCTTCTTCCAGCACCCTGACATTTGTTCACTTGTCTTCCCAATAAATTTGTAGGATTTTTCAGAGGCAACACTGATGGAATCATTCCAGGAGTTGCATGTGATGTCTGTAGACAGTCCATGTCTCGCAGGCGTATAGCAGTGTTGGGAGGACAATAGCTTTATAAATAAGCACCTTGGTATCCCTATGGATGTCCCGGTCCTCAAACACTCTCTGATTCATTCGGAAAAATGCTGCACTTGCAGAGCTCAGGCGGTGTTGTATTTCAGTGGAGAGGTGGCTGCCAAGGTAGCGGAAATGGTCAACATTTTCTAATGTTACACCATTAAACTGTATTTCTGGCACTGGAGAGGGATTGGCTGGTGACTGCTGGAAAAGCACTTTGGTTTTCTCTATGTTCAATGACAGGCTGAGCTTCTAGTATAATTAGTAAATATTGGTATTTTATTAGTATTAGTATTAGTTAGCTAGGGCTAACAGCGAGAACTGAGCCTGCTCCCTGGATTCGAACCTCTAACCTTTTGGTCAGCAAGTTCAGCAACCCGCTGTGCCACAGGGGCTCCTATTAGTAGTTAAACACTAGTAAATATTAGTATTTAAATACTTATAGGAGCCCCTGTGGCACAGCAGATTAAACAGCTGAGCTGCGAACTTGCTGACCAAAAGGTTGGAGGTTCGAATCCAGGGAGCAGGGTCAGTTTCCGCTGTTAGCCCCAGCTTCTGCCAACCTAGTAGTTTGAAAACATGTAAATGTGAGTAGATCAATCGGTACCGCTTCTACAGGAAGAAACGGTGCTCCATGCAGTCATGCTGGCCACATGATCTTGGAAATGTCTATGGACAATGCCAGCTCTTTGGCTTAGAAATGGAGATGAGCACCACTCTCCAGAGTCGAACATGACTAGACTTAATGTCAGAGGAAACCTTTACCTATTTAATGTACTTTTGATTTTGCCATCAAAGTGCCAGCAAAGAGTAATTAATATTAAATATTACTAACCAAATTGCTATATAAAAATATTAAAGAATAGCACTTTGATTCTGCTATCAAACTGTACTCTTTCATACTCTTTGGTTTTGCAGTTAAGTTAATAACAAAAATTGCTATTCTTTCAAAGGGGACAGCATTTCAGAGACACCAGTTTGTTTGCTTATTTTATGTACTTTATTTTTATTTCACCTTTCTCCCAATACAGGGACTTAAAGTGGCTAAAATTAAATATGGCAATGCAAAATTTCAAAATTTAAATGGATTAAAATACAAGTATAACAGTAAAAAACAAAACATTTGTCTCTTTGTCTCATTAAACTGTTAAAGACAAAAATATTAAAATACATTATAAAGTCTCAATCACACCACCGTCAACCCCCTTTTTACTGAAAAATTCAGAGCTGTCAACCTCTCCCCTAAGACCCCATCTCTACTGTCATATAATGCAGTTTGAAACTGCATTATACGGTCAGTATAGACTCATATAAATCAGTTCAATGCAGTTGAACTGAATAATATGAGTTTGAAACTGTATTATATGGCAGTGGAGGTGAGGCCTTAGAGTACCAATCTGAAAATGTGAGACTTTTGCTGATGTTTACCTCATTACACATATAATGCACACACAAAAAATTCAGCATGCAATTGCTCAAGCAACATGTACTATAATATGATGTTTGCACCTTCAGAAGTATGTTTCATGTGTTCCATAGACTTAATCCTAAGTCAGTGTGTAATTTAGATGCAGCCTTAGCAGTTGTGATGTGCAAAGTGTTTCAAGGATATTTGCAGCAACACTAAAAACTCTCAGGTCTGTTTGATTTCTGTATAAATTATATTTGACATGAATAATGACAATTATTCTTGTGATTACTAATATTATTGTTTTGAAAAATATTCAGCAAAAAATAATGTGGCACCTTAAAGACTACCAGGTTTTTTATGTACACACATATACACAAGCTCATAGGTGGTGGTGGGGGAGGGGGCAGGGTGTTACAGGTTCAGGTTTAAAAATCTCATGAAAAAAACTCACTGGCTAATTGAATCCCCATGCTAAGTCTATGAGAAGCAAAAATTAGAGTTCCTCCAGAACTGCAAGCACTATTGAACCAAATTTTGATAATTTATTAACACTATCAATATCTACCTTTCTGCCAATTTACATTGCAATAGCAGCAACACCTGCTGGTGTTTTCTTTCATCCACCAGACTCCAGAAGATGCCAAAACATCTACCAAAGCAACTGATGTTTTTGAGTTAATGGCAAAACTGAATGTTTTTGAGTTCATGGCAAAAAAGAAAAAGCCAAATATTGAAGGCCAAGACAACAGCAGGTTGAGAACCATTGCAGCAGCCGATATCAAAGAAAACCCCAAAACATGCACACCTGGAATGCATCTTAAAACCGAGTAAACTGTGGAGGCTTTGGGCTCTTCCACACAGCCATATTACCTGGAGTGACAGAAAATCCCACAATATCTGCTTTAAACTAGGTTATCAGAGTCCACACTGCCATATATTCCAGTTCAAAGCAGAAAATGCAGGATTTTATTCAGTTGTGTGGAAGGGGCCTTAGGTATCTACTACTGGTTCATCTAATACAAATCCTGCTAAAGAAATCATGAAATAAAAGCAAAGACAAGAAGTTCTGTCATTGTTAGACCTTGGACTTTACATGAACAAGGCTATTTGTGATGAGCAAGTGAAAGTTCAATCGTGCAAAATTCATGGACTCCATTGCCAGGATATGTATTTCCTGTGGATGAGAAGAGGCATCTAGGTTTTCAATCCAAATGGTTCAAGAGATTTCCCTTGTTAGTCTACTCATGTCATGTACGAGGTGCATTCTGTAATGACTGTATAGTGTTTGGAGGAGAAGTTGGGGGTACAGGTGGCCATCAGACGTTTGGTGAATTGGTTGCTTAACCATTTTGTACAATGGAAAATGCAATAGAAGTCTTCAATGGACACACACAAAAAACCAGAGTACCATCAGAACAACTTGTTCTTGGCTAAATACTTCTTGCTAATTCAGAGTGGAAAACATCTTGATGTAACCGGTCATCATGATAAACGAAATAAAAAGAAAGCGGAAGAAAACAGTAAAAAAAAACCTTCTGCCATTGTGGAAACTATTGTCCTTAAAGCCAACTGGCTTTAAGAGGGAGCAATGATTCAGGATCTATTGCCTGTGAAGAACCTTTGCACAATGATGGCAATTTCAGGGCTTTGTTGAGACCTCATGCCAGATCAGGAGACACTGGCCTGAAAGTCATCTTGAAATTGCAACTATGAATGGCCAGTATAATAGTCCTCAAATACAGAATGAACGAATAGATATTTGTGCTGACAAGATAGTTTTAAAAACTGCTGAAAGATGAAATGCATCACAACGCTTCTCTGTTTTGTCGGATGAAACTTTTAATGTGAGTACCTCAGAACAGTTAACACTCTTGGTAAGGTACATTGATGTTGAAACTGCAGGAATAAGAGAAGACTTTATAGCCTTTGTGAAGATAAGTCATACAACAGATACAAGACTTGCAGGCATTATTTTGAAAACATTGGAAAGAAAT